CAATCTTATCTGAGGAAATATTGGCAGCTGATTATTGCTGGGTGAGGAAGAGCTGATCTTCCTAAAACAAGAGACTTTAGATAGGCTGACTAGACCTCTGTGGATGGACTTGCACAGGGGAACGTCTGGGGACATTGACTTGACACATTTGGGGGGTTGTGTGGTGTGCCAGTGGGGACGAGGTTATAAAGATGATTAAGAGTCTTTGAGATATTCTGTATAAAATACACAAAAATTCAATAAAACAAAAACAAAAAAGAGTTTAGTACCTTTAATTATAAACCTCCTACAGTATGAGAGGGCAATAGAAGGTATCCTGAGATCAAGAACCACCCATCAAAGGCTCCATCTTGTGAAAATTCAGATTCATTTAAAAAAAGGTAGTCTAAAGTAAGAATGTCAGTGTAGGGGTTCTCTGCTCATTGAAAACAACTGCCTAGGAATGTGTTCCCCAGGGTTAAGATAGAAAGACACATGGAACTGTGGTCTAAGGGACCCCACTCCATCCTGAGCTGGTATGTAGCAACATTGTTCACCTGATACTGGTTTTGCAGGCTTTGAAAATTCAGGATTGAGGCGGTCATTGAGTCTTTCACCATGGTTCCAGAGAGCTTCTGAGGCCACACAATGCATGTCAGGTTCAGTCTCCCTATAAGGAGGCCCCAGGAGGCCACTGGGTGAAGTTAAGAGGTTGCAATAGAGATTCTAGGATGTTGGGGATGACTGGGTTATAGAATAACTACTTCGGGGGCCTGGAGAGATGGCTCCACGGTTAAGAGCACTGACTGCTCTTACAGAGCACCGGAGTTCATTCCCAGCACCTACATGGCGGCTACTAACCATCCTTAACTCCAGTTCCAGGGGAATCCAGAGCCCTCTTCTGACCTCTGCCGCATTGCACGACTCGGGTGCACTCACATACATGCAGGCAATACACTCATACACATTAAAAAAAAAAAAAAAAGAATATCTACTTAGGAAGGCTACAGGCATGGAGTGGAGTTAACCCAAGAGAGAGGCTATGTGTGTTGTTGGTGGCAGAGCTGGAGTAGAGTTACCCAAGCTCTTGGGAACTCAGATCTTTCAATCGTGAAACCACGTGCCCAACCTGGAGCTGAAGGATTTGGTGTGTTCAGTGTTGGATTTTGGTCTTGCTTTGATCTGATCATTCCTTGCTATATTTTCCCCTTTCGGAATAGGAATGTTTATTTTGTACCATTGTATATTGGAAGCATGTAACTTATTTTTGATTTTGTAAGAGTTTACAGTTGAGGGTACCTTGAGTCTCAGATGAGACTTTTGACTTTTAAACAGTGCTGAAACTGCTAAAGACTATGAGTATTTTTGCTCTTGAACTGAATGAATCTTGTATTATGAGATAACCATGAACCTATAGATACAGGAAGCAACGTTATGGTTTAAAATTGTTCTTTTTGGGTGTCAAGTTGATATGATGGAGTTTTGATGATTAATACTGATTGTTATCTTGAAAGGTTTTAGAATTTTCTAGGAGACAAACCTGTGGGCATGACTGTGGTGGTATCTAGATTAGGTGAGCCTCTGGTTATATCTGTGAGGGATTATTCCAATTAGGGTAATTGAAGTGCAAAGACCCACCCTGAATGTAACCATCACCGTTCCATGGCCTGGGTCCTGGACACCATTGTAAGAAAAAGTTAGGAGAGTGTATCTGCTTCCAGGGTGTGGATGCAATATGATTTGTTGCCTCAAGCTCTTGCTCCCCTGGAGTCTAAGCCAGAATAAACCCTTCCTTCTTACCAGGTATTTGTTTTTGCCACAGCTATGAGAGAAGAAACTAGTTCAAGAAGTAACAATAAGTAGAATGTGAAAGAAGTTTCTTGGTTGCCCACTCTCTTGTTAGTGTTCCTGAGGTCACAAAATAAGGAAAATTAATTTGAGAGCATTTATTTGAGAATAATTTATGATAATTTGAACATTTAGAGTAAAGTACCCTTATGTGTTTTGAGTTTATGATACATTCCAATTCTACTGGGTTTATCTTCTAGATATTCAGTTTAAATATTACCTTAATTTTCTCCTCCCCTGTTCTCTTTCTACTTTTCCATGAGAGAAGTGTCATTAAACACCTAATGGTTTTATTAGATTTGGTCTTTGTCATCCTATTAATTGATCAATTTGAATGATCATGTCATAAGGGCCTTTCCATTTCAAGCAAAATAAATCTACTCCTATTAGCAAAATTAAGCAAAAATGACATTGATTGGGGTAGGGGGGCGACTTGGTAGTTCCCAAAGGGCAAACAGACTAAAAACATACTAGCCTTACAAAGGTTAGGAACTGGTGATATCTATTAAACCGTCAGCAGATAACTCAGTTCGAATCACCTTTCTTTACTGTGTGGGTCAGTTTAAGATTTCCTAGGAAGAATGGTCTATTGGGAACAGTGTGGTGCAGTCAGTTTTGGCAGAAGTCAGGGTCAGAAGTAAAGCTATGGCTTCTGGGGATTGTGTGAGCTGAACAGTCTTTCCTTTGTGTCTTCTACAGGATACAGTCTATTGCACCCTGTTTTTGCTTTCTTCTCAAATACTTTTCCATGATCAAGACTGTAAAATTATTGAGAAGAAGAGCTAGCTTTTTTATGGTAGTATCCCTAGACCAGCATATATTATTGGTGTCTGGCATTTTGGGTGGTGTTCAGTTAAACCTTTCATTTGAATTGAGGACAAAATGTATGGACCCCAAATGTTTTGTCACAAAGAATCATGTGATATATATTGCCAGATGTGAAGAGTATTTACTCTTCCTTTGTATTTGCTTTCCTTTCTCTAGCCAGGTTCTTTCTGTGTTAGTCCGAGTTTCTCTAAAGGTTGAAGAGCCTGTGTGGTCACAAAAGCAAAAGCTTATGTGAGTAGTTTATTTGCAGATGTGATCCCAGGAATCAGGCTGAAAAGAGTCAAGATGGATGAAATATGGCAGCATGAGCTTTGGCTTTAACCTGCTTGATTCTCCATAATCTTCCGAGAAGTCTTGTGAATGACATTTCAAATGGCTCAGAAGGATCTAGAATAAGGAGTAAGCTTTTATCCATAGGGTCCTATTGCAATTTTGTGAAGCTTTCCTTTGTGGGATTTGAACTTCTGGAGCATACTCTTTTGAGGCAGAAAGCAAAGACTTGTATCATGGATGGGAAAACGTTCAGGTTGAACTTGTACAGAACATGTTTATGATATGACAGAAGGAACTGTAGTATTGCAAAAAGCAGTAGAAATGCCAGCATAGGCTTTGGGGGTATGGCATTGGCAGGTTGCCAGTACATTGGTGGATAGCCCCACACCCACACCCATGTACATATGGCCAGCACTAATAGGATTTTTGTGGGTAAAACACACACACACACACACACCACACACACACACAACACACAACACACACACATGTACTCACAAAAGCATGAAATTGGGAAGGGTATTTGCGAGAGGGGGATGAAGGAGAGATGGGGGATGATGCAATTGTGTTTCATTGTATGCATGTATGAAATTCTCAAAAGAATAAATTATAAAAATAAAGGGCTCAACAAATGGTATTCTTTGGTATCCATTAAAATGAATCAATTACAAAAATTGTAGGACCTCTCGAGCTTTATCTGTTCTAATCTTGCTCCATTTACTCTTCTTGTATTTTTGATATCTTGAATTTCTAGCTCCTTTTCTGTCACCTTCTATTCTTCATGGACCAGTCTCATCACCCTGGAGAAGGTCATATTCATTTATGACCGCATACCTTTAAGTTTTACCCATTGAAAATGCTTTTATTTCATTATAGAACTGTAAAATACTATTTTTTGGCCATTGTAATGACAGCAAATTCTAGCCATACCATTAATACATAATTATACTTTGTCTCTGACCCTCTTATAAGCTACCAAATTTGGAATTTAAATAATTTTTCTATGTTTTCATTTTATATGGACATACAGAAATTGAGGAAAATCGACTTAAAAATGCATTTGTTATCCTCAGATAGAGATGAGTTGCTTCATAGTTTTCAACTATATTTCAAAACAGGGAAGGTAAATAGTTCCAAAAGATACAAATTGGTTTTATTCCATTTATAAAATTTTATAATAACTTTCTTTCCTTAATGCCCCCCCCCCCGAGTCCAGGAGATGGAGTACATTTATTAATTTGCATCAGGATAGATAGGGTCTCCCAGAGCATCTCTTCTGATGTAGCAGACCAGATTGTTTTCGCTCAGGGTTTGTTTAACATGTGGCTCACCCACATGTCCCCCAACTTTTTTTTTTGTTTGGTTTTTTTTTGGACTGTCCTCATCCTCATGATGCAGCTCTGCATGTTCTTCATAGTGAAGTAAAACTATTCAGATCTTTCTTGTTTTGATTACACATTTTTATTTATTCAGATAACTCAGTTACCATTTCTGTCATCTGAACTTTATTAAAACTTAATGTACAGGTCTTTGTCATTTTATTTCTATCCTTGGTGAGCTTAATGTTTTATGTTCTGTAATTATTTATTTATTACTTAATAAATTATAGTTTCTGCCTCTTTCACCTTATTTTATAATAATGCAACTTATTAAAATAAACTTAACATAATTTTATAAGACATAGATTAATCTTGTTTAATGTTAGGTAAGTAGAAAAATATAACTACTTTTTAGTAATGAAATATTTCTAAATTCAGTATGTCAGGCAGTTTCAGTGGCTTACGTGGTTTGGTTCTTTTGAAGACTTGTCACCTTGCTGTGTTAGAAAAATATCTCCGTTGAATTATTTTGACTTAAGCCCATTGCTCTTTGGCCATATGGTATAACATTTTAAACTTATTACGATTATGTGGCATTTACTAATTCTTTCTTCAGAGGTGCAGACTTGAATGAATAACTTCGTATAATGTTTACAATTGTTAATATGAAAGATATTTTTCTTGAATATATGCTGTAAAGCCATGGTTCATGGAACCTCTTCAATAACTTTTTTGTTGCGTTGGTTTTTTTAGGATTTTCCTGTTAAACTGGTGATTATTGGAATTACATTACTTCTTCTACAGACTCCAGCAAGTCAACAGAAGCCAATCTTAAACCTGGGTAAATAAAATTATCAGAGAAAAATGTAAATATTAGCATTGTCAGGTGTCACTGGAGCAGTATATCATGGTCTTCTACAGGTGTTTAATTTCTGCTCTGGGATGCCCCTGTTTTCTACCACATAGATCTCCTTTTCTTATCACGGTGCTTTCCTGTACATGTTTCCACATTTCATAAATACCCATTACCTTGCAAGCTCATTAAGTTGTGATATAACAGTGATACTTGTACTGATGGGCATATTTCTCTATTCATAATTTACACCGAAATGGGAAACAGTATCATAAGACCCTTGCAAGAAATTGTTAACTGGTTGTATTTGTTTGAAGACTCTATTCTTGTCCTGGTGAGCTGGCTCCAAGGTCAAGGCACTTACCTGTAAGCCTGACCACCTGCGTTCAATCCCTAGAACTCACATGGTGGAATGAGAGAACCAACTCCTGCCACTTGTCCTCTGACTTTCTCTCCCCCCCCGTCTCTCTGTCTCTCTCTTTCTCTGTCTCCCATACAAATATATAAACAAAAAAGAAAGACTTGTTTATAATTGATGCTACACTAAACAAGATTTAATTAATGGTCATTTTCTATATGTCCATCTTCATTTATTTTTAATAACTTTATTGAATTTTTGTGTTTTTAATACATAAAGTCATCCTTATTCTCCCTTCCCCTTTGGCACCCTCCCATAAGCACCCCCCAATGGAATTCATACATTCTGTCATTTATAAGGCCTATTATGTAAAGTTAGTGTCCCAAGATGTTCCTCAGTGCAAGTTCATCCACCGGGGTTTAGTCAGCCTATCTAGAGTCTCTCTCTTCAAGAAGATCTACTTTTTCTCAGGCAGCAGTAATCACCTGCCAATAATTCTTCGAATAAGATTGGGGATTGCTGTTCATTTCCACAGTTATGTGCTGGGTTTTTGTCTGTCCAAATTTGCATGGGTCTTGTGTGTGCTGCAACATTGCTGTAGGTTTGTATGAGAAGAGTCCCAGGTGCCTGAAGGACTATTGCGGTATGATCATGCACCTCCTCTTTGGTTCTTACAAATCTTTCTGCCCTGTCTTCTGCAATGGTCCCTGAGCCCTGGGTGGGGGACTTTGATATAAGAGACCTGCTCACGGACCCACATTCTGCTGACTCTTATTCTCTACGTTTTGGCCATTTGTGGACTTTTGTGTTCCTGACCCTTTATTGCATGAGGGAGCTTCATTGATGAGAATTGAAAAATGAGTTAGTGTTCTCTTCATCCCTTGTTTTGTATTCTGTGAGTCCACTTAGGCTTGGGCAATTCACAGAGAATCTTTGTGTGTGACCAGTGGTGCAACTCTGTAATAATCTCTGTCTGTTGAAAAAGAAGCTACTTTGATGTGTGGTGACTAGGATATTTGTCTGTAAATGTAAGGATCCTTTTTCACATAGTAAGAAATTCCATTTTTCTAGGGATATGAGAGCCTTGGTTTTCTCTAAGGTCGATGACCTCACCAGCTATGTGTATTTGGCAAGGTTTACAGTACCACACATGAGTTTCCTCCCATCGAATGGGCTATAAGTCCAATTAGGTAGCTGTTGATTACCCCCAAGATAAAAGTGCCACTACTGCACCAATGTCGTTTGATGTGGTTTTTAGGTACCAGCTTGTGTAGCACTCTCCAGAGCTATGAGAACTAGCCTTCAGGGATGTGGCTTCCCGGTCAGTTCCAGCTCCATTGCTCCAAAGCCTGTGCCCAAAGTATCACCTATCTTCAGCAATAAGGTCTTACCATCAAGTTCTGGGAGGCAATCAGGACTATGGCAGTAGCCTGTGTAATTCTGAGAGTCTCTTGGACTACTCTGGCCAACAACTCAAAGGAAGGTTTCTCCTGTGTGGCACTGTTTCTTGTTGTGTAGTCTTTAGCTATACTCACGGACTCATGTAGGGATATTGTATATATAATTTTTCAGTAGGTTTTTGGACTAATGAGAGTCCCTCTCTGGCTTTTTATACTAGCTAGGCACTGTTTATGTCTCCTCTTTCTCTCCCTGTCTTATCCTCCCTCCCTGCCCTTCCCATTTAAAGTGTTCCCATTTTTCCCATTTCTCCCTTGATAATTTAAAAAAATATTTATTTTTATTTTATGTGTATGCATATATTGCCTGCATGTAGGTAAGTACATCTGTGTTGTGCCATGCCCGTGGAAGAGAGAAGAGGCGATTGGATCCCCTGGAACTGGAGTTATGGACAGTTGTTAGCTGCCATGTGGGTACTGGGATTCGAACTCAGGTTTTCTGCAAGAACAGCCAGTGTTCTTAACCATTGAGCCATCTCCCCAGACTCCCCTTGATAATTTTTGTATGCTATGGTCCCACCTCTTTTGAGTTCCTTCTTCCCCTTTATTTCCACAGTTCTTTGTATAGCCCTTCTTCTCCCCCTCCCCTTTAACTACCCCTCTTTTTTATTATTGATTTTTTGTGTGTGTTTCAGAACATCTTTATACCCGCATGTCAAATGGCACCCTCCCATAGCCCCCCTCCTACTGAAGCCCATATACTCTGTCATCCCTGTCACTGTGTCACTGTCCACTGTGTTGTCAGTGCCCCTAGCTATTCCCCAATGCAAGTCCATCTGCTGAGTCTAGTCAGCCTATCTAGAGTTCCTTGTTTTAGGAAGATCAGCTCTCCCTCATTTAGCAGCAATCAGTTGCCAATATTCCTTTGGATAAGATTGGGGTCTGCTGTTCATTTTCCCAGTTCTATACTGGGTTACTGTCTGAGAGTCTCTTGGGCCACCCTGGCCAATAACTCAAAGGAAGGTATCTCCTGTCTGGCATTGTTTCTTGTTATGTAGCCTTTAGCTGTACACATGGACTCTTAAAGAAATATACTGATCACTTTAATCTTTGGTTATAGTTTCTTTGGGGAACATACAGTTGGCCCAAATAAACCAATTTATCTTTACTGTTATGGTTATTTGAGGCCCCTCTGTTTTGTTTGTTTGTTTGTTTTGTTCTTAACACATTTCTCCTTTAGTAATACCTGTCTCTACTATTCTTCTCTCTTGGACATCTCATTTGTGGATCCTAGCACCAAATCCTTGTAAGTGAGTGCATATCCTGATGTAACTGCAGGAACAAGGAAAGTCTATTTTCATTTATTTTCCAAATAAATGTGTTATACAGCTCATTCCTCCAGGCACTTTAATTCATTATCGTATAGAGTAAATAGTTCTTTCGCTTATGAGTGCCTGGAACCAGCTTCAGCACCTGAAGGACATCCTTGCTTCCTACACCTTGATCTCTGGCCTGTTTTGCCTGTTGACCTTACTTTCAGGGTGTTTTCCTCCCCAGTCCCGTTCGCATCAGTTTTTGCCTTTTCCCCTTAAACAGTGCAGATAGGATCTTCCCAGAAGCATAATGCCCCAGTGCTGCTACTTCTGTTGCTTTTTAAAAGAAGTTTTATTAGATATAATTTACATTCCATAAAATTCACCATTTTACTGTGTACAATAGCATATTTTTTAGTAAATATATTGATTTGTACAACCAGGAATACAATCTAGTTTTAGAGTATTTCTGTCTCCATCCCCAAAATTCCTTGTGTCTATTTGTATTAATCCTCATTCTTATCCCCATTTCCAGAGAACACACTACTGTGTCTTTTGAAAAAATGCTTTGTTATTGCTATTACAATGATGGTAGTGTGTGTGCGTGAGTTTGCGTTCACATACATGTACATGCACATGTCTTGATGTGTGTAGAGATAGAGGACTGCTTCATGGAGTCTGTTCTCTCCTCCTACCATTACTGTTCCAGGGATCAAATGTAGGTTGTCATGCTGGAATTGCAGGCTCTTTACTCAGTCATCTTGCTGGCCTTACTGTGTCTTTTGTCTGTGTATTTGCCTTTTATTGACCACAAATTTCCCAGTGCCCTAGGGAAAATTGTATTTCTAATTCTGAATTTAAAAATCTAGACTGTGCCTCATGTATAAAGGAAAAAATGGCATAAGATGGTTGTTTCAAATTTAAAATTCCGGCATTAATATAATATGCTCTGTACTTATTGACATTCAACTTGATTATAAATAGCAGCATATCAAATATCTTGAAAATATATAACATATGATATTGAAATATTTATCCTGTATATGCCTCCTGTTTTGTTAAAAAAAGATGACAGATTTCCATAATATCTCAGAGATAATTATGGATTAAGAACAATATTTAGGAAGAATAATATAGTGTTAGAATAAAATGTATTGGTACTTCAGCTCATGTCCAAGTCTGACTTCCAGTTGATTTAACACAAAATATAACTCACTGACATGATTCAAAGCTGATAGAAATTTTGTTGGGGAAATTACTTAATAACTGAGAATTTAGCTCTGTAGTCTATGGATAACATCTTTCAGTAAATCAGAATTCAACCAATAATCTTGAAAAAATACAGTGAAAAGAGTCTACTTATGTTTTAATTTTAACTACTTCTGTTAATGTTCAGGAGACCCTGTGCATGATTTACTTCTAGGTTATTTTATTCTTACATCTATGTATATGCTTTTGGTGGAGAAGTTGAGTTTCCATGGTGAAAAAGGAGTCACTTCTTGGAAAAGTCTTTTATTGTTAAGTTGGTCATGGACTTGGGGACTTTTGTCATCTGCCTCAGAGCACAGTTGACAGCCACCCCTTCTTCTCTTTGCTCTTCAGTTAAGCATCTGTAAATGTGGTTTTTGGATGGTCTGTAGAAGCATGTGTGCTGTTATCAGTTTCCACTCATCAGGAACTTGTAGTCTCCTGGCTGTTAGTAAGAACTGAGAAGTTATAAAGGACAAATCTTGAATTGTATTAAAAAAGATTCACAAAGACCTTGTAGTTAGTTGATTTATACATAATGATATATAATATGTATTCTCTGTAAGTATTGTTATTCTTCTGTTAGACATATTAACAGCTTTTAAAAGAATTGATTTAATTTTTATATTACTGATTTTTTTTTAAAAGGAAACTTGTCATCTGGTTATGTATCTGACCCAGTTGTAAAGGGGCAACCCCCCAAACCAAAAACCAAAAACGTTTCTATCAGTTCACGACAAAATAGCTTTCTCTTTGAGTGATACTAATTTTAAAGTGTGATTCTTGTTTTGGTGATTAGCTTTGAAGTTCCTCTCTCTTGCTGAACGTCCGAAAATCCCCAAAGCAGCTCTGCTGCTTGTGATGCCTCTTCTGCAGATACTGTCTTCCACTGCCTTGGAAGACTGTATGGCCATGGATGAGGAAGGTCCCTCTAGGCAGCAGTTGGCTCTAAATCTTTTGGAAGTGGTACAGCAGGAATATTACAGAGATGACCAAGAAAAGGTAATGAGTTCCTCTTTGTTTCTCTTAAACAGGGTCCATGTGAGTTTTCTGAACATTCTTGATGAATTTTCTATTGAGATGTAAACTCAAACTTTTTTTTTTTAATCAGATAGTGGTATCAGAGATACTAGTATAGTTCTCTGAACTAGGGGGTGGGGGAGGTGGTTTCATGACAAAATAAGTTTTGGAAATAGTATAGAATCTTCTTTTTTCTTTTTGAGATTCTAGTGCAAATAACCATTAAAGATCCTGAGTAATGTCAAGAAAAATAAATGAATTCTGTTTACTCTCTTAACTAATTAATTAATTTATTTATGTTTATCTATGTGTGTGTATGCACAAGTGTGTGTGGGTTCCTGTGTAGAAGTCAGAAGAAAGTGTCAGATGTCCTGGAACTGGAGTTACAGGTAGTTGTGGTCCTTGTGGATCAGATCTTCTGCCAGAGCAGCAAGTGCTCTTACTACTGAGCCATGTCTCCAGCCCTCTCTGGTGCTTTTTGAAAACACATTTGAGCATAGAATCCTTTCTTTTTATCAGACAGTTAATAGGTAAAACATATTGCTAGATTAGGGATTGCTAATCCAGGTAGGAATGATCCTCAAAGCCTGGAAGTATGAGTCCTCTC